AGCGCTAATAACGCCATAACCATCTCAGTGAAAGATCTTTAAAAAGGCAAAAAAGAGGAGATCAAAAGCGACCTTAACTTTGTGTTTGCCTCAGCATTGCCTTTATACTTCAACAAAACTCTCCTGTAGGCTAATTACTCTCAGTTTCAAAATCTTGTATAAGCTTTTGCTCCTTTTTCCATCCCGAGTGAAAACCGAGAAGCATATCGAACCTATACTAACTAAACCTCAGCAAGTCATTTACATTTTTCACCAGTATAATGTATACTACATGCGACTATTTGCTCATTGACAGGAGAATTGGGGTGCAGAGAAAGTGATTAGATATGTGTTACGTTATATAAATGCACTTTTCCCTTTTTTGTTCTTCACCTCCAACAAACATTTTCCCAGCCGAGCTTTTGTTTGACGAGTTATTTTGTTCTTTACTATACCCACAACTCAACAGAACAGCCTCCGTCTCTGCAAATGGATAATTCAAAACAAACTATTAAGCTTGCACAGAAAAGTAAATGTTATATTTCGAACATAACAAGCTATTTTCTTTGAATCTATGCCAAAAAAAAAATGGACTTACGTGAAACTTCGACTCACGCAGATTTTCTAGTAACTCGGTTATCTCACGCTGCTTCGTCACAGTCGAATTCAATGCCTAAAAAGCACACTCACATAAGTTGGACCAAATTTGATTTACTATCAAATATGCATAACATACTCACTACTTACCCTTTTTGTCTTCTCGAGGTCAGACTCGACTGATTTTATCCTGTCGAGCGATCTATGAAGCAACTGCTCCTTCTCCACTGGAATTTGGACAGGCTTTCTCACGAGTTCCTCTAACAAATTTTCCAATCTATGGAGGCGCTCTATGCAGGGAGCTATGGCCTCTGTGCCAACAGGTAAATGACTGTTTGGTTGTGGTAAATTTTCTGGATAAATGTCGTTTTGTGTCCTCCAAAATCCGACACGTGCGTTTTGGATAAAATCAAAAAGCTTGATCATGATAGATATCAGTGTTCTTGTTATATACTGAAAACCTCTCTTCACGAGTGCACCTGATTCACATATTTGGTATATATCAGATTTTTCACTATGGTTAAACAATGGTAAATGGATTAAACAATGATAAATTATAAGGGCAGTATTATTATGATTCATGACACAAGAACCAACCTTCAAAACTTGATCTTCCATGGTCATGTGAAGACCGATCTTCCAATCCTTGTTCATTATCACTATCTTTATCGGCTGGACCGAAATGATCATTGCAGCTATAGTAAATACAGGAATCTGATATCCGTGCCTGCAAAATGGTCAAATTAACAAGTCAATACCCGTATACATATCGTCTATACTATAGAATTGTCTTGAGGAAGAACAAGATATGGTCACAATTCAAGATCTTCAAAGTATTGTGTTTTTAATTAAAAAAAAAAAAAAGATGCAAATTATGTATTTGAAAAAACTTGAAATAGGATCAGTAGCTTCTGATCAAGCTTACTTCTTCAGCATCTGATCCTGATTTGGCTAAGGATGTATCACCACATCTGGCCTGATCATTTAAAAAAACACCATAATGGTTATATATAAATAAACATGATTTAATGAATCATGATCATACTTAACAAAACTTACCACCTTCAGGGCCTGAATTTTAAAATAAGAATCGATTTTCTGCTGATCGCTGCATATTTTGGCAACTCGGCCTTCAAAAGTTGTTTCCAAACTATAGACAAGCTATAAACAAAAAAGTAACTTTTAGAATAGCCTCACGTAACAAATGTAATTCGGATTATGTACACGTGGCCAAATGAATAATAAATGCACCTTCGTTAATTCAGGATCACTCCACGGACCCTTATTAGCCCTCAGGCAACCTCCCTCAACAATACACGAGCATGATCCACCCAAAAAATCAGGCAGTTGACTGGGGAAAGTACAAGTATTTAGATCAGATCATATCTTTGACTTGAAAAAATATAGTCTGCAATGGAAAGAGTTCGACAAACCTTGGATCAATGACTTCCAGTAGCTTCCCCAGTGATTTATGGTCCAAGACCTGTACATTTTTCGAACAAGAGTGCAATTAATTGACAATGCAGTAAATGGAAAATAATAGAGAACAAAAGCTACTCAACAGAAAATGTATATCCATTACATGAATTTTCGCGATAGTTCTTTGATCAAGAAACTTCTGTGCAGCAGGCCAAAGCACCTTCTTAAAGCCAGTTCCAGCATTGACAATGAACATTCGATGGAGTGTCTGTATTTTAACCATTACAAAAAAATAGGTCACACTTGTTGTGTTATTATTCATTGATGTGGAAAATGGAGAAAAAGGATTACATATGAACAAAAAAATTACCTCGGGGTAGTAATTATTGTCAATCTTCGCCATGGCTGACAATAGACTAGCGGCAGTTGCTGTGAAATTTTTAACCCCCTGAAATCACCATTGTGATGTCAATTTTACAGAAAATTAAAATCTTATCACGGTGCATAAACCTGGAATAAATATATTTTTTTCTGAAAATATCAATAAGAAACTCCCTATAGATTTACTAAAAAAACAGAAAACAGAATTAGTTAAGGATTTGCATCACAAAACTGAATTAACAGACCAGGCTTTGTACATCCAAAATCGTGGTTGTGGAGCAGATCCGTCTCTTAGCAGCAATGGAACATGCTGGGAACTTCTCGTGTATAGCCCTCTCAAATTCTTGGACATGATATTTCAAATATCTTTCTATTGAAGTGATGCGCATCAGTTTACTCGGGTGAGCTTTTCCAAGCCTTTCGATGTAAACTGGTCTGCCCTCTCTATCAACTCCATGATATCCTTGGGGGTAATAGTGCAAGACTTCTTCCAGCTCTTCAAATTCAAAGTCCTGCAAATGAATCATTAGTGAACTGTACTCTATACCAATACAAAGCTGAAGCCTCCAAAGTGCAAAAAAAATGGCATAAAGGAAAAAAGAGTTCTGAAAATTAGAAATGGAAACCTATCAAGCAGTTCATTATAAAAGAAAACCACTAAGAATTTTTTTTGCATATATAATCATCATGTATCATTACCTCCAAGATAGTATCTGCTCCAAAATCCCTCCTCCAGCTAAGCATTTCTTCCCACATCTGGAGGGTCCTGCTGATGTCAAAATCTCTAGCTCTCAGGAATCTATCGAACACCAAAAATTAATTGTATGTTATAATTAAAGAATCTTGATTCAATAGGTGAAAACTGAAAACCATAGAGGCTCTTGATACAACGAGGGAAAGAAAAAGGAAAAAAAAAAATGAAATTGGCACAGAGACTAATAACAATCTACAATCTGACAGAAATGTGGGGAGATAGGCACAGGCAAGCCATCCCCCTCATTTATTCCCTATTTCTTCGAGCCTTGAGAATATATATCATTAACAAATATAAGTAAATGCCAACGAATGCTTAAAAATTTATTATTATTAATTAAATTCTGGATCCGAATTTGTCAATGACTTAGAAGATCTCATACATCTAATTCAATATGCCTATAGTTCACTCTCATCCAAGTCTCCTGAAAGAGGTACTATCACTTGCAAAAGACACAGTCAAAGAAACTATTACAACAAAAACCATAAGTTCACATAAAATGAAGATATTACACTAAACATCCACCAATCTTATTTTTCACCAGTGAACCTCCTCCGATGTGGGAAATTATGCACAGGGATCAGAGAAGAATATTTTGTAAATGATAATGATAAAAATGAAAACTCACCGCAGCAAAGTATGGTAGTCATCATGCCGAGCTGGCAACAAATTCCTGTCAAGTAATGTCTGACGTAGGTCACAGACCGCACTCTCCTCTCTCGGGTCACGAAACTCCTCAATTGAAATGGTAGGAACCCTAAAATCAACTTTCCTTTTTCCCCTTTTCTTGAGTGAATGAGTGAACTTGTTTGAAGCATTTATGGCCTTCTTCTTCAGGGACCTGATTTTTGATCTCCTTCTCTCATCTTCAGAGTTTTCGTAATCTGACTTTCTCTCTCTTGTTTCATCGAGTAACTCTATTCCATCTAGAGAGAAAGTAGAAAGACAATGCAACATAATTTGTGAGTGAAAAGTGTTTCCAGTAATAAATCTTAACCTCAAGGATAGGTATGTCCTGAGCCTTCACACACCTGACATATTGGCTGGGATCAGAACGAATAGGCTAAAGATGAGAAGACTTAATCTCCCCAAATTCAGAAAATGTGGTGTTCAAAAAGTACCATATCAAAGTGAACTGCACAATCATGAAAAAATGGATTAGCATCTCGAATTAACTACATTGTCCAACAGATATATAATATACTTTGCAACATACACACACACACACAATAAAAAAAGAACGAAACCAATGCCGAGTCCATTTTGGCACAATTTTGTACGGATAATCTTACATGAAAATTTATAGCAAGGAATTCTCTTTTCAAATTTAAAAGCCAACATCCTGATAAACTCAATTTTCAACACGAGCACAAATCGTTATGAATAAGGATGTTAAGTTCAGTCTTCAACTCTGCAACAACACTGATGTTCTATCATGCATTTTTAATTATCAACTATCACTAGCTAGAGCTGCTGTATAAGATCCATCTAAACAAAGAATCCTGCACTAAAAACAATTTATCAAAAACTCCAAGTACTCAAAGCTCCCACATCCATTCAACCGAAAAAAAAAAAAAA